TTAAAGCTTTGAGCTTCCAGCTAATCGAAGCTCCATATTCAGCACAGTAATGACCTGCCTAGCCTTTCATTTTGTGGGACAGTAAATAGCGTACACAGCATTTAGAATGCTGCTCACTTCTTCCTGGACCTACATATTCCACCCTTTATACACAGTGAAAGTGGTTAACCAGCAATAACTTTTAAAACAAAAATGAGTTTGTTACAATCAAAGTCCTGCTAGTGAAAACTGAGCCCATAGAGTCGGCCGGTGGATGCTGTCAAAAGCCTTCTCGAGGTCAATGAAATTAATAGAAATCTTCCTTTGGTATTCCAATGTTTGTTCAATGATCATGCGGAGGGTGAAGATTTGCTCGAAGATTATAAAGTCTAATAAATAATTAACATAATCGCATTGATGTGTATGTCTGTGTTTCTCTGCTCAGACCTTCTAAAGACTGGTTTGCTTTGACTGATCTACATATTTTGTAAACTTTGTAAAATATTGTGTTATTTATTTTATTTCTGTCTGTTACTGTTCTTATGGTCTTAGAGCAACTGTAACCACATAATTTCCTTAGGGATTAATAAAGTATTATAATTCTGATTTTAGTATTTGGTGAGTATAACTCAAAATAGTTCATTTCTTTTTACTGAACACCTTTTAATTTACTTGTTGACATTTTAATTAGCTGCTTTAGATATTACAGATACAAAGGGAAAAAAGTTACTTGTGTTTTAAAAAATCAACTGAGTTATATGTAAACATTTGATGTTTAAACTCATATTTTCCCATATTTTGACACGTATATTAGTTGTCACACAAACATATATAGAATCGCTTTTTTCATGCACAAGTTGCATGTGTATTTATAGTCAAGTTAAGTCTATAGTTAAGAAAGAATGTGAATGTGCTGAATGCAGTTCTTCTCTTGGGTGAAAATTAAATTGTTTTAACTCTAATTCATAATTTTGATATTTTACAGCTCTGATATTCCTCCTATGAAAAACTATATACTGGTGTTCATTTCACTCTGAATACTCACCAGTACTACAGGGCCTTTGCAGTGACACTCGAAGTGTATTTACTGTAGCTGTCACACTGTCTGTGTGGCTGGCAGAGTTGGACTCAAACCCTGGACTCCAAAAGCTCCAAATAAAACTCAAAACAGCTTTAGTCCAACCTCTAAGTAAATTACAAAGATTGCAAAGGTAAGCAAACTAAAAATACACAGTAAACAGGGACAGGGCTGACATGGCATGGCAATAGACTACGTGCACGTTAGCATATGCTACTTCCGGTGCAGAAACTCCTGTGGGGAGCTTTGTTTCCGGTGTCCTATTCGCGCCTTGTTTACGGTCCAAAACAAGTTAAGCAAATGAATGAATCAAGCGGCGATTTACATTTCTATAGATGTCTTGGGCATTTACACAATATATCTGTAAATGATGTTCACATGATTTTTTCCCCGTGCCTCAGAGCAAAAGAGAAAAGGGATTCAAATTTTATATTTCTCAGTATCTGTAAACAGCGGTCCCTCATTTATCGCGGGTGTTATGTTCTAAAAATAACCAGTGATAGGTGAAATCAAGTAGCCAATTTTATTTTTTGACGGTGCAAAACGTTTCATCGACATACAGTACTGCACTCCAGAGTCACACTGCTAGCGATCGATGCAGCAATTCTGTACTGTACAGGAGAGACGTCACGGAGGAGATCGTCTGCAGCGATCAGGACGCAGGACACAATGTAATGTAAAAAAAAAAAAAGCATGCAAACTTGCACTAAAAAATCTGCGAAACAGCGAGGTGAAAGGTGAACTACGTTATAGCGAGGGACCACTGTAATTTTGAAGGTAAGTCACAACATACACTTCGTAAATACTAATGTATAGAAACCCTTACCAGCAATCATTCATTTTTTGTGTGGCTTTTTTTCACGGTTTGTTAACATGCTGTGTAGGTGTGTACTTGACTAGCTGATCTCGACATAACGGGGAAACATCTGGTTTGACTATTCTTCACCTGTAGTTTGAATACTGAACATTTGCCTGTTTAAATCATAAGACCAGTCACTATACAGAGATGTGCTTCTGAATGTGGACGATGTGTATCTGCATGCAGTAATGCAATTCTGCTTGTATTGAGTGATGTAAACAACTGATCGATCTAAACTCTTTAAACGTCAAAATTGATCATTAAATTTTTTATGACACAACAGTGGTGAGCGTTCCCACCTTCTGCTCTTTGTAACTTAACGCGATCTTTCCGTTTTCGAGTTTTGGACATGATTTTGGAGTATATCTTGGCAGTAGCGATTGACCGCAAAGTAAAGCTACCGGAAATGTACAACCCTACATCCGGTCTCAAACCAGGAAGTTAGCATTTTCTCATGCACAGGGTCCATGGACATTCAGTATTCAGCTCAGAGTTTTAACACATAAAGCAAAAAAAAATACAACTAGCTTACGCACTTACTATACTCTCCCAGCTGTCACTGCCACAACTTTCCCCTCATCCTAAGCAACCAAATGCGTGTGTTGCCATATTTTTGGATTGACTGATGTGGTGCATTTTTCCACCAATAGGAGAGGGGGTACGATGTTTTTTGTTCTTTTCGGTTTGCAAGCATTTTCAGCTTGTGAAATTCCAGCTTTTACTGTTTCTTTTTGCACTAAATGTGACAACAGTATTTGGAAAAAACATGGTACAAAATATTTATCATAGCACTGGTTTTACTTGGCCTGTCAACCCAGTTTAAAAACTGTTATGTAGTTTGGCTCTCAGCGAAGGCGGCCGCACTTTTTCTCCTCTCCTCTCCCTTATCTTCCCTGCTTAGCT